GGGGGGATGGAGTGGGCCACGAAAGGATGAAGGAGAGGATGGAGAGGAGATGGAGGAAAAGATGCAGGACGGGATAGGGAGGGATAGAGAGGGAATGGAGGGGGACAGAAGGATGCAGAGGGGATGGAAGGGGACAGAGGGGTGCAGGGAGGGATGCAAGAAGGGATGGAGGCTGGATACAGGGAGGGATAGGGGGACGGATGGGGGATGGAGGGATGGGAGGGTGGAAGGGTGGGTCCTGGGGCCCATGGGGGGAGCACAGCCCTCAGGACTCCCCCCCTGTCCCCCAGGGTGACCCTGCGCCGGGCGTCCTCCGGCAAGAGCCGCAAAGAGAAGAGCAGCAACCGCCTGTCCATGGGCAGCAGGTGAGGGACCCCTCAGCCGGGGCAGGGGTGCTGCCTGGGCACGGCCCCCACCCCTGACACGCTCTGTGCCCAGGGAGGCGGCGGAGGGTCCCGGCCGCCCCTCGGGCTCCCCCTTCCTGCCCTTCTCGTGGTTCTCGGACAGCGCCAGGAGCTCGGGCTCCCCCGGCTCCGCATCCCCCTGCGGCTCCCCCCGGCACGAGGGGCTCAGCCCCGCCAAATCCGCCTCCCAGGTCAGTGCCCGGCCAGGGGAAGGGGGTCCTGGCACTGGGGGGATAAGGGAGGGGATGGGGGCCCTACAGGGACGTCGATGCTCCCATGCATTCGGTGGCTATAGGAGAGGAGGTGACACCAGCTGTAGGGACAGACAGCAAAGCCCCATAGGGTCAGGGTGGCTTTGGGGGGTGTCAAAGCCCTAAAGAGTCAAGACAAGTATTGGGGGCAGCAGGTCCAAAGGCCCGTAGGATCAAGATGGATATGGGGGGGCTGTGTCAAAGCCCTAGAGAGTCAAAGCAGGTACTGGGGGTGGGGGCAAAGCCCTATAGGATCAAGATGGCTGGGGTGGGGGGGTGTCAAAGCCCTATAAAGTCATGACAGGTATCAAGAGGGGGTCCAAAGCCCCATAGGGTCAAAATGGCTTGGGAGAGGGGGGTGTCAAAACCCTAGAGTCAAGACAGGTAGTGCGGTGGGGATCCAAAGCCCCACAACATCAAGATGGCTGAGGTGGGGGGGTGCAAAGCCCTACAGAGTCAGGACAGGTATTGGGGTGGAGGTTCAAAGCCCCACAAGGTCAAGATAGATATGGGGGGGCTGTGGGATGAAAGCCCAGGGGGGTTTGGAAGGCCTATGGGTGTGGGAGGGTGCTGTAGGGGGGTCCTGGGGGGTGGCAGCCTTGCCCTCACCCCCCTCCCGCTGCCCCAGGACTCGACGCTGAGTGAGGACTCCCCCCCGCCCAGCAGCAGCCCCCGCCTGCCCGGGCCCCCCCGCGCCAAGTGCTCGTACCCCTACCACACCCTGTCCCAGTCCTCGGACGAGGTGAGACGCGGCGAGGGGGCGAGGTTGGGGTGTTCCCCCCCCCATATCCCACGGGGACCCCCCATTAACGCCCTGTGGCAGTTCCTGGAGGAGCCCCCGGGCGCGGCCGCGGGCTGGACGTGCCAGCAGGTGGGGCAGTGGCTGCAGAGCCTGAGCCTGGAGCAGTACGTGCAGGACTTCTCTGCCCACGGCGTGGACGGGCCCCGGCTCCTGCACCTCGACGGGGCCAAGCTCAAGGTACGGGGCTGGGGGGCCTCTGAGGAGGGGGCACGGGGGGGTTCTGGGTGCTGCAACGGGCTCTGGGGCGGGGCAAGAGGTTCTGAGTACCTCGACAGAGCAGGAGGTCTCAGAGGGTTCTGGGTACCCCAATGGAGTGTTCCATGGAGCAGAAGGTCCAGGCAGGTTCTAGTTACCCCATTAAGATGCTCCACGGGGCAGGAAGGTCTGGGATGGTTCTGGGTAGCCCAAAGGGCTCATCAAGGGGTACCTAAACCCCCTTGCCTGAAGCGGTGGCTCCATGGGGCAGGAAGTTCCAGGCGTCCCAAGGGACGAGCCCAGGAGGCGGACGGGAGGTTCTGGGGACCCCAAGGCGCTGCTGCACGGGGGGTGTGGGTACCGAGGATCTGGGGGGGGTCCACATACCCCAGAGGGCTTGGGGGGGCAGCGTGGCCCCCCTGCCAGCCCCCCGCTGTGCCCACAGGCGCTGGGGGTGGGCAGCTCCCAGGACAGGGCGGTGCTGAAGAGGAAGCTGAAGGAGCTGAGCCTGGCGGCCGAGAGGGAGCGCAAGGCCCAGGAGAAGGCGGAGAAGCAGCGGGAGAAGCAGAAGAAGAAGGAGCTCCAGGAGCAGCGGTGGAGTTAAGGGGGGGCCTGGGAGCGCCCCTGCACCCCCTCCCCACCCACAGCCCCCCCCGGCGTGGGACACACTGGCGTGGCTGAGGGACGTGCCAGGCTGAGACGAGCACGGAGCACCACGTGCCCCCCGCTCCTCCAGCCCCCTCCCCACCTGCACCCCTGCACCCCACGGGCACAGCCGGGCCCCCCCCCTCCAGGGGCCCCTTTTCCAGATGCAAGTGGCACATTGGACACCCCCACCCTGCCCCGTCACCCCCCACCCCATCAGCAGCACCCCAAGGGGGGCAGAGGGGTCACGGCCAGCACTGGCTGGGGACAGCGTGTGGCCTGACCCCCCCCCACACGGGGACACTCCCCAGTTGGGGTGTGGGGGGTGATTGCTGACCTCCCCACACCCCCCAGCCCCAAATACGGCGCCCCAGAGACCACGCCAGGAAATAAAAGGGTATCAAGGGCCAGTGCAAACCAGTGAGACCAGTGTGAGGCTGACTGGGGTGGGGCTGGGGGGGCAAGATGGGGTGGGGGGAGCTCGGTGCCAGGCTGGAGGGGGCACAGACCATGGCTGGTCCCCATTGTGTCCCCAAGTGCCACCCTGTGACTGTGCCCAGCCCCCTCCCAAGCCTTGGAGTGGGTAAACTGAGGCACGGGGGGGGTCAGTGACCCATTTGGGGGGTGCAAAAGGGGGGACATTTCCAGGACCCCAAAACACCACACCAGGAGCTCAACCAACATCCAATTTACTGACAGTGGGGAGGGACGGTCTGGGGGGGTGGAGGGGGAAAGAGGAGAATCTGGGGGAGGAGGGGGAGGTTTCTGAGCAGGTCACAGCATGTGTGGGGTGGGGAACTCACCCCAGGGGAGTGCGAGGGGTGCAGGGGTGGGGGCCACACGCAGGTGAGAACAGCTCAGTAGTGCAATAACTGGGATGGGAGATGGAAAATGGGGGGAGAGGGGGAGGTCAGGCCTGGGACCCCCACCCTGTCAGGGCTGGAGGGGCAGGGAAGTGCTACTGGTCATACTGGGAAAGGAGACCAGTCCCCTGCTGGGCTGGGGTGCACCCCCTGGGGTGGGTGTGAAGGGAAGGGGGGTGGGAGGGGGACAACAGGGGCTTTACCCCCTCCACACTTCTCCAACACCCCCCCCAGCTACGTACCTAAGTGCCACCAAGGTGGGGAGTGCTGGGACCCCCTCACACCCCACTGGGACCCCCCACACCCCACCAGGACCCCCCATACCCCACCGGGACCCCCTTCCAGTGGAGCCCGAAGAGCCACAGAACTGGGATGCTCCAACAACCCCCCCCAGGCGCTGGGGGCCACCCCGGGAGGGCCCTGTGAGCTGGGGCAAGGGGGGCTGTGAGCCCCGGGGGGCTCAGGGCACGCGGTAGGTGGAGGTGTTCTTGGGCTCGGTGCTGGGCACACACCAGTCCCCGGCCTCCTGGCTGGCCTGGTAGTGCCGCCAGGCTGACTTGTTGTACACGGGCAGCCGCTCCACCGAGTCCGTGGACAGGGCCTGGGGGCACACGGGGGGCTGGGCAGGGTCCTGGGCCCCACCCCGAGCCCCGAACCCCCCACTTGGAGGGAGAAAAACCCACCTTTAGGTAGATGACGGCGTCGGTGCCGAAGCCCTCCATGGAAAAGAGCTGCAGGTCCCCCTGGAAGTACTTGGCGTAGAGGCGGGAGATGGGCAGCCCGTAGCCAAACCCAGCCTGGGGGGAGAGGGGAATGGGGTGGGGGGTCTCCAGTGCTGGGGTGGCACCCCTGGGGCACCCCGAGCCTCCCCACATCACCACAAGCAGCACCATGTGCAGCCCAAAGTGTCCGTGCCCCTGCCAGCGGTCACTGTGCCACGTCCAAATGTCCCCCGGCAACCCAAAATGTCCCCCGGCAACCCCAAATGTCCCCCGGCAACCCCAAAATGTCCCTATGCCACCCCGAAGTGTCCACACCACTGCCAGTGGTCACTGTGCCACACTCAAACATCCCCAGGCATGCTCAAATTATACCCATGCACCCCAAAGTGTCCCCATGCCACCCCTGGGCACCCCAGAATGTCCCTGTACCACCCCTAAATGTCCCCAGAAGTCCCCAGGCCACTGCTAAACCTCCCTGTGCCACCCCCAAAATACCCCCATGCCACTCCAGCCACCCCAGGAGACCCCCAAAGGACCCCCAGAGCACTCCATGCCACCCCCAATGGACCATAAAACCTCCCCATACCACCCCCAAAATACCACCATGCCACCCCAGTTCCCCTAGACCACCCCATGCCACCCCCAAAGCACCCCCATACCACTCTGGCCCCCCCAAACCACCCCCAAACCTCTCCAAGCCACTCCACCCACCCTGAAATATCCCCACCCACGCCAGGCACCCCCAAAACACACCCAACCACCCCCACCCACAGACCCACGCCCCACCCTCCTCTCCCCAGGACCCCGTGGGACCCCCACAGACCACGCCAGGGGGGTCACCTACCAGGGGGGTGCCCCCAGTGCCCATCTGGGGGGTGGGGGCCGTGGAGTACATGTAGCTGAAGAGCCGCTCGATCTTCCTCAGGGGGACCCCCATGCCCCTGTCACTCATCTGTGAGACACCACGGGGGGTGACAACCCTGCTCCTGCCCCCCACCCCAAACTGTACCCCCCTCGGGACGGAGCTGGGGGTCCCTCACCCTGATGGAAAGGTCCTCCTGGCCCAGGGCCACCATGACCTTGATGGGAGGCAGGCGGGGGCTGCTCTCGTGGCTCTCCACGGTGGCTCTCATGGCGTTCTGGGGGCACGGAGGCGTCACCGGGTCAGGGGGGACCCCCCAAAACCCCCCTCAGACCCACCCAGCAGGGCTGGGGCTACCTTGAAGAGCTCGAAGAGCATGTGGTAGAGGTGGGAGGGCACGTAGACGATGCTCACGGGCTGCTGGGAGTTGGTGGCTGTGGGGAGGAGGAGCAGCCGTTGGCATCGTTGTGCTCCCCCAACCCTGGAGCCACCCCAAAATCCCCCCACCGTGGGGACCCCCGACCCTAAATGAGACACCCCAGAATCCCCCCGGACTGGCCTCACCGTTCACCTCCTCGATCTCCAGGTCAGGCGAGGCCATGTAGTACTTGTCACACAGGAGCTTGGCCATGTTGTAGGCATCTGGGGGGGGGAGCAGAGGGGTCAGCACCCCCCAAAATGGAACAGAGGGAGCATTTAGGGTCCCACCTCTTTGCCCCCCATCTCCAAAGATTTTCCAGTCCTACAGATTCAGCAAGTTTTTGGGGTCTCCTAGCGCGACCCCAAAGCACGGGGGACGCTTTTGCTGAGGGTGACCCAAACTTGTGACTCAAACGGCTCCCAAAGAGGGTAAGGGGAGGATCAGGGGGACATTCAGCAACCCCCCCCCCCGCCAAATTCACCCCCCGTGGGGGTGGGAGCCCCCTGGACCCCACCAACCTCTCACCACGTTGGCCACGTTGCAGTGGGGGTCGATGCTCCCGATGTGTTTGGGGTGTGCGGGGTTGGTGCTGCCATCGAAGAGCAGAGCTGGGGGGGGACAACGAGCTGTGGGGACCCCACCCCGACCCCAGAGACACCCGGGGACACCCCCAGGGGGCTCAGGGCACTGGCCTGAAGGGGAAGGGGAAATTTGGGGCAGGAGCCCTGGGGGTGGAGGGATCATTGGGTCAGGATGCCTGGGGCTGGAGGGGACATTTGGGGTGGGGGGACCCTCGTGGCAGGATCCCTGGGGCTGGGGGTGACATTTGGGGTGGGGGGACCCTCGTGGCAGGATCCCTGGGGCTGGGGGTGACATTTGGGACAAAAGAATGCTCAGGGCAGGTCTCTGGGGTTAGGGGGGAAACCCTGGGGCAGGAACACTGGGGGAGGACGCGGAGCAGGACCCCTGGGGCTGGGGGGCACATTTGGAGCTGAGGGGGACATCCAGAGCATGATCCTTAAGGGTGGGGGGGATCCTTGAAGCAGATCCCTGGGGTTTGGGGGGGCATTTGGGGCAGGGGCAGGAGCCCTGGAGCTGGAGGGGACCCTCAGTGTGGGGGATACTCAAAAGGAAGATGCTTGGGGGACCCTCAGGGCAGGAGCTGATCCCTGGGGCTGAAGGGGACCCTTGGGGCAGATCCCTGGGGTTTGGGGGGATGCTCTGGGGGGCACAGGGGAATGCCAGGGCTGGCAGGGACGTTCAGAGCTGATGGGGACCCTTGGGGCAGGGGGTGCCAGGGCAGGGGGACACTCAGGAAGACGATCCCATCTCCAACCTCAGGACAGACCCTCCGGAGCCCAGGTGATGCCCTGGGGGGTGCCTGAGGCTGCCAGGGATGCCCAGGGGTGCAGGGGCCCCCCGGAGCCCCCCGCTCACTGTGCTGGTTGATGAGCATGCGGATGGAGATGCGGCTCAGGTAGAAGCGGTCGAGGAAGTACTGGATGTTCTGGTTGGAGACGGGATCATCTCCATAGGCCTCCTTGTACTCGATGACCCCCTGGGCCATGGTGGGCACCACGTCGTTGTGCCGGTTGCGGATGGTGACCAGGGCGTCCGTGAACCTGGGGAGGGCACAGGGGTGGCCCTGGGGACACCCGGTCCGGGCACAGCCCGATCCAGGCCGGGATTCCCCTGGTGGCACCCAGGAAAACCCAGAGCACGGTCCGGTGGCACCGGGATGGGGTGGGGGCGGTTTGGGGGGGTTACAGCGCCGGGTGACACCAATTTGCACCAGGGGGAGTCTGGGAGGAGGGGACACCCCGGGACTGGGGACAAGGACATGCTGTCACCCCCCAACTCACTGTCCCAGCGTGGCCTGGTCCTCGGGGTCCCTGTCCAGGAACTCCATGATGTCCAGCAGGCTCTGGACGTACCTGGGGAGGGACACGGTTACCCCACAGCTGGCACCCCCCCAAAGAGAGGGGACATCCCGGGGACACCACACCGGGGGGCACAGGGTCCCCTGGGGCACTGCCCCATGCAGGGTGAGGGGTCAGCACCCCTCAACTAGGACCCCCCACCCCAAAAACTGCTCTGCCGTGAAACCACCCTGTGCTTGGGTCCCTGTCCCACCCCTCTGCTGGCACGGTGGACCTGGGGGACACTTGGGGACAAGGCCCCTCTGATGGGGTGTGGGGCATGAGGGTGGCTGTGATCTGAGGTGGCTGTGGGAGGGGTGGCATGGCTGGAATTCCCCGGCATGGCCGGACCCCCCCTGCCCCAGCATGGCCGGATCCCGCTGGCAGGGGACCAGGACAGTGGACAAACAACCTGTCACGTGGTGGCACTGGGAGAAGGGTCACACTGCCCCTGCTGGCATGGGGACAGGACACTTAAAGGGACACCCAGACCCCCCCACCCCAGGGACACAGACCCACCACCTTCAGTGCTGGCTCAGCCCCCTTGGGGGGCAGAAGGCTGAGAGGTGGCACTGTGACCCCCTGATGGTTGGGGACACCCCGCTGGCACGGGGGTGTCCCCAAAGGGCCAGC